AGAGCATCTGACGTTTCATCTTGTGATGAGTTAACGACGAGTCGTACTTTAGTACATGCTGACCGTCTTCTATGCTGCGGCCAATTCCATTCGGTCGAAGGGTAATCCATTCAGTAGGCAGCTCTGACATTCGGTGAGGTCTTGGATTTAAGACTAGTATTTATCCAAATAGATGAGCATCGTTCTGTCGTACTTCTTGAACATCTTGTGAAGTGATACTTTCAACGACAGCGCAGAAGTTTCCATACTCAATTCATTCGACATCTAAACTACGCCCCATAAGTATCATTGCAAACTGCAATTTCAGGTAGTTGGTGGGAGGCAAAGGTAATGATGACAGTCAGAACAAACATAAAATAAACTTCCATTGATGCTTCGAAAACTTCGATGTGGGTAGCCTAAATGTAGCCGGGGTTCGCTTGAATTTCGCATGGTTATGTGTGATTAACTAAGGTACTGGAACCTTTAGTTTCTACGAAAATTCACTCTATACATGATCACTTGCGCAAAAAGTACCAGACTGTTATTGGCTGTTGGCGTTGTTGCGAAAAATAGGTGGAGTAAGCTACTAGATTTTTGGTCCATTCAGCGAGCTTAGAAGTTGGATCGCGAACGTTTCATCACCAATCAATGTGGCACTATCATTTCGGGGTTGAGTGGGTAGGCCGTCGCTATTCTGCTTTTGCTTATATAGTTTCTAAACAGCACCTAGTTTGTTTAAAGTGAGTAGCTATCACAGATTTTCGAGTAATCTGGTTCGTCAACCTGAAATATGTATTTGTTGTGATCTCATTCCGTTGTATCTGGTTGGTTCTTTGGGCGTCTCGAGTTCAGCAGTTCCATTCCTTAATTGTAACTGGACCGTTTCCTTCTTGCCTTGCGATCTCATTTCGTCCCATTCGTTTGGCTGACTGAACAGTCTTCTGTTTTTCGAAAAAGTTTGGTGACAATCGGTAGATTTATTGCTGGACAACGCTTCGCTTTTGACACAAAAGCTTCTTCAGGCCAAG